GTTAGACACATTTCTAATGGAAGACTGGGACGTAACTCACTTTTAAGATTTAATGCATGGTATGAAACTTGCCACCTTGCAGATAGCGTTATCCTGGAATAGATGGGCCACCGTTCTAACTGAACCAAGAAAAATTCCATGCTCTACTTCTACATCAAGAATATTGGCCTGTGTCACCTCGTGTGTCACAGAAATACTAATTTCAGCAACTCATATAAAAAGAACATGCTAGAGAGTCCCAAAGGCACCATTCTCATTCTTCAAGAAAAAGGCATACACTACATATGACATAACCTATTTCTTCCAACCTCTCAACGTAAATGAGCAGTTTTTTTGTTTATCCCTTATTCACTCTGCTCAAGCAGAATCACGATCTCCTGAGCATAATACTCAGAAATGAGTATCATTTAAAACTTCAAAATGGGCTACATTGCCTAATTTGGAAAGAGGCTTCTCCGCCTTATGATTCATTTGTTCTATGAGTCAATAGAAATTCTAACCTGAGCAGTTCTGTTCTGACTTTAATAATTACCAAGATTCCTGGAACACTTTTACACAAATGCATTTTCAGCTGCTTGCTTGGGTAACTTGCAGCATACTCAGGCAGAAATTAACTTTTTGAGGGCAGAATTCCATAAAAGGTACTAATCACCTGAGTTTATTCACTCTCCACACCAGAATCATATCTTAAATATCAGACAGGTTCAAGCAGTCCAGGTCAGTTTTCTCCAGGTTATGATGCCATAACAAATGGCATTAAAATCTCTGTAATTTACAACAAGAAAGGTAATTTCTCTCTCCTGTTACATGACAACTGGGGTCAGGTCCCACTCCATTCCATGTCTTCATTCTGGCCTTCAGGCTAAAGGAGCAGCTCTTTTCTGGAATGTACTGTTCTCATGGCAAGTGGCAGAGCAGGGGTACAGCAATGGCAGAACCACATGTGGTTCTTAAACCTTCTGCTTGGACCTGCATATGGCACTTCTGCATGTATTTCAAGGGCTAAAGCAAGTCCAATGGCCAGGCCAAGGTCAGTATGTCATGGGAGTATAATCCTCCTACAAAAAGGGTAGGGAATAACTGAAAACAATACCACAATCTACCACATCAAATATCTATATACAAATATGTATAGCAACACATAGATGGCTTTTTTAGCAAAGGATTTGGGCATGCCAAGAATTGAACCACCATCTAGAGTGAGAATCTATACACATTTCACTACAGTAGTCTGCCTTTATCCTCAGGGGATATGTTCCAAGACCCCCAGTGGATGCCTGAAACCACGGATAGTACTGAACCCTATATATACTGGTTTTTTGGTTTTTTTTCTATACATACATATCCATGATAAAGTTTAATTTACAAATTAGGCACAGTAAGAGATTAACCACAATAACTAACAATGAAACAGAAGGACTTTATGACTTCTCTTTGGCGTATCTGAATTACCAGCATCACTACTCTTGCGCTTTGGGGTCATTATTAAGTAAAATAAGGGTTATATGAACACAAGCATAGTGGATTGCAGTTCACCTCAGGTAACTGAAACCATGGAAAGCAAAACCATGGATAAGGGGGAACTACAGTATAATTAAGCATAACTATAAACACAAATTCTGAATACTATACCTTGGAATCTAATACTGATTTCCAGATCTCCTCCCTACCCCTACCCACCCAACCACTCAACCCATTCAAGAAGTTGGTGAAAATGAAATGCTGGCTGACTCTCAACCTCAATCTGTAGATTCTATCTAATGTCTCATCCTTTTTCTTCCCCATAGCTCACTTCTTTATCTCAGGTTCCTTCTTCTCAATTCTTACTAAAGCACTCAGTCAAAACTCCTCTAAGTACAAACTATATTGATCGTCTTTTTTAAAGAACTCTGTTTCTTTCAATACACACTGCAAAATGTGAGCTTCCAGCTTGTTAAGCCAGAAATGGATTTTGTTCTATTTATTTATTTTGTTTGTTTGCCTACCTATTCAGCTATTTCTCTTAAAGAAGTATCAATTGCTATATCTGTGTTCTCTGCTGCCATCTTTCTGTACCTATGATGAGGCGAGGCACATATCGAAATCATTTCAGTGTGAAAATAAACTTCTTGATTGAAATCTAAGTTAAAACATACTAATCCATTGGGTAGGAATGTTTCTAATTCATAGCATTTCCTATGTTACATTTCTATACATCCTCTACCTCCCATCTAGTCCTCCCAACAGATGTTCCTGTTAAACCATCTCCCACCCAGTGCTATGAAGGCTACACTTGCTCACATGAAAATAGTAGGCCCTGCTCTAATGTTGTGGATTTCTAGGATGGCATATTCCTTGCAGATTGCCAGCTTTCCCCAACTCTAGTGCCTCCTTAGGCAGGTGCTGCCTTCATTTGAGTTCTTTTTCTTCACCATAAAATACCTTAATGGTTTCCTACCATTTCTGTATCACTGATGACAGAGCCAGTGGAAGCAAGGAGTCAAGGAGCCTGGCTTTCTAGTGCTCTGAAACATAATCTGATGATCCAGGAAAATGTGACTTACTTACTATTGCCATTCTATACGATTATCATTATTTCTAGTAAAAGATAAGGATACTGACCCAGATATTGTTCATCAAAACTCTGCTGACACACAATGGAGTATTATGCAACACTAAAGAACAATGATGAATCTGTGAAGCATCTCATAACATGGATGAAACTGAAGGACATTATGCTGAGTGAAATAAGTCAATCACAAAAGGACAAA